CAATACGTTATTACGTAAACTGAATGTTTCACTTTGTTCGTTCATTACAATATAATTAAGTATTTAATATAACGATGACATATGATACGTGCAATAGATTGTTAGAAAGTTGAAATTGAATTATTTTAACTATTATCGTGAATGAATGAAAAAAACGCCTAGTCACGACCGGACACCATAATTTGTGAGACTCCTGGTCAGATTTCTGTGTATAAAATCTCGCGCTAGTGATAATGATAACAGTTATTATAACAAAATAAATACTTATCGCAAAGTAATTTATAGCGTACTTCCCCTTTAATAAGTAGGTAAACAGCGTGACTTTAATCTGCAAATCGTTGTGTAAACGATAAATGATAATAAACATTATAAACTGGTGTGTAATTGCGTAAATATCTACCTACGCATCAATCATTTTTACAGGTATTAAATATTATGATTAGCTATTTATTTGTATAATAATTTGTTAAAGTTTTTAACGGACCCGATGAATTTCTAATAAGATAGTTTGGTGGGAAAAAAAGAACTGTAAAACGTATAAACGTCGTAAAACCATAACATCATTACAAAATTATTATAGATGTGTATGAGTTAAAAACTATTTATGATACGGAATGATTCACCAAGCATGCTCTCCTACCTTTTTTATTAATTACGCAGTTAATCAGGTTTTTGGAATTTTTAAATTACTTTAAGATTACATTTTCAATTTATTTGAGATTGTATTATTTAACAAATGTCATATGGAGTTACAAAATTCTGTTTTTAAAATGAGAACCCTAGTTTTTTTTCTGTAAATTATTTAGCGAAAATTTACAAAAAAAAATTGTCGTATAAAAATTAAAATTTGAATTAATAGTTTTTGAGTAAATTAACTTTTTGTATTAAGGATAACATATAGCTTCATGTTTATGAGTTTGAAAGTTGTGCAATTTTAAGACTATGGAGATCTGAACATTTTAATAAACAATTGATATAAAAATATTAATATTAATAATTTATAAAAATAATCCAAGTATAATGAGTTAGATCCAATATTATTAATTTATTTTTTATATTTTTTAATTCATTTTTGAAGACTTCTATACTAAGTATATAAATATTATAATAACCGAGTAATTATAAGTTACTAATTAGTAATTATAATAACTACTTTTTCGAATTTTGATTTAGGAATTCCGACATTTAAAAAAAATATATCTACTTAATAATAAAAAGGATGGTCCTAATTTTAAAAACTTAAATTTGTATTGCCATAGTATACTTCCTTAATAAATTCTTATTAAATCTCAAGAATTTAAAAATTTGATGTTTAAATATAATAAAATATTCTAAAATTTAGAATTTAAATAAATAAATTATTAAAAAAAAAATGAGGGTAGACATAAAATTATATTACTTAGTATATATATATATTAAATTATTTGAATTTCTTGACTTACAGACATAGGAAAACAAATTTAATTTTATCTTCAACGGCGTCACTGCGCGTCATTTGATTTTGTTTTTTTTTAATTGCTGGCGAAAATTTGATTAATTCTGGCGCGGATTGGTGTAATACTTGCTTCATTACTGGACTTATATGATCGTTACGTGTACTTTCTTTCGTAAGTTTTTATGTGTATACAACATACATATACTGCTATACAGGCTATACGTGCTGATGGAGAATTTTTTTCAATTCACGTGATTTCGCGTGACGTATTCAACTACTTGTTATATATATATATGTATATATTATAATATGTATATGTTGTATGATATGCTATTTTATATTAGAAGTCTAGAAAATGCTTGTCTATTTTTATTGAGATGTATTATTAGGGTATTGTATACCGAGTACATAATATGAATATTATATTATATATGTACATAGAAAGAGACATTCCTCTGCAGTAAACTACTTAATTATTATTCAGCCGTCATTGCATTCGCGTCCGAAGGCTATTCGAATCCTATAAAAAAAATCACAAAAATACTACAATAATTCGACACTCGAGCACATTTAATTGAAATTATCTCCTCGGGTACTATAAAAAATGTACTGGAAAAAAGTAAGTTGTAATTACAAAAGTGAAATTAAAGATAAATCATATTGGCTGTGTACTTATATAATATATGTCCTATTTACTATACTTATATTATTTTATATAGACTTGATATTGCGTATTACTATACAAGATGATTCATTTAAAAATACATTCGTTATTTTGAATTTTTAACTTTTTTGAAAATATTTTATTACGTAATTCAACATCATCACAAAGTACCTACTTGACATTTTTGAAAATAAAAAGTTATATTTTTTATTTTTGTCAATTTTTTAAGATTTTGACTTTTCTGGACAATAAAATAAATGTATTTATTCTAACTTGAAAGCAGAGTAATTTTCTTAGTACTTTGATGTATAATTTTGAATTTTTAACGAGTAGTTAATTAGATATTATAACTTATAACTAAGTATTTAAGTTTAAATGAATTAGGTTGTGTTCAAAATTTTGCGACGTACCTTTAGTTGTGCCAGTATAATCTTGCTCTTCTAAACGTTAAGTACTTATTATAAGTTATAATTAATTAAGTACTCGTTTAAAATCCTACTATTGTGAAAATAAAATATAAATGCTAAAAAACGTACTATAAAATACCTACACATAAAAATACTTCTAAAAATATTTTGCCTAGGAATATAAAATTAAAAATATATTTTTGTATTCAAACAGTAAAAAATTTATAAAATTACAACAATAAAAATCGTAAAAATGTTTTCTTAACAATTCTAAAAATTCCTAAAATATTGTTTCATGATTCATAAAATCATATGTAAAAAAAACATTGTGTTGACACTAAATAAATTATCGAACACCTTGTACATAATATCGTTATGTCAACGAACATAACGATCATCATTATCATAATTTTTATAGTTTTATCGTAAATGATTTATTTTGTATAGGTAATAGATTTAACGGTGACCATTTGTTGATGTTTGACTTTATGGGCGTCTAATTCATAAAAATTCGTTTTACTTTATACTGTTTTCTTTTAACATTTACGTGCGTTTTTAGATATTACATTTAAATAATATATTAGTAACCGTTGGAATACCTATAATATATTTATAACCATATGTTTGTTGTTTTGTATATTTGTTTTTAAGATTTAATTAGTATCAAAAAATATTAACTCAACAAAAGTTATTTCAATAATCAATAATTTTACAATAAATATATTTGATAAACACTCAAATTTCAAAAACTCAATTTGAAGCTTTGGAGTAAATTAATTAGATTTCAAATGATGAGCAATTGGGAATAGAAGTAACCATTCAGTACCTACTATTAAATATGAATATACTAATACTCGCTTACTAGTAAATAGTTTATAATTATTATACATTATTATTATATAATTATTACTCAAACTAATAAGTTTACGAATAAATAAAAATATTTACTTTATTAAAAATCATCTAGAATATTTTAAAAGACACTAGATAATGTACACTACGCATTAAATGAAAATGGAATACGCGTGAACACTGATAACTACGTTATTAAAATTCCCAAAAACTGACGACGATTCGAATTTCACTCATCGTTTTTCTCTCTTGAAAGGAGTGATAAAATGTAAGTCGTTTGGAATTCAAAATATAAATTTCTATTTATGAAATGACTAACGAAAAATAGTAAACATAGTTAAAACGGTGATCGATAATGGAAGGACTAGGAAGGTAACTGAAAATTATACACAACTATGGGTAACTACATTACAAAAAAATATAAAAATAAATTAATTAAAAATGATAACAATTATTTGAAACTTTGAAAAGCAAAGTACAATTAAATCTATAAGGTTTTATTTTTATACATTGACACAAGAGTATATAGATATTATAATTAATATTTAAACATTAAAACGTTTTATTATTTTTAAATTTTAACATATAATATAACTAATTTAAATCCATACAATTCTTATATGATTACTAAATAGCATATAATATTTACAATAATTAATTATAATAATATTTTTAACCTTTCTTTACATTTATTTTTGTGTAAATAAAAACAAACATTGTGTGTTTGTATTGTTGGAAAAACATCGCGCCGTATGATTTAACACCTCAGCAACCCATTATAATTCCATTGGTGTAAGTGTTTGGTTGGTGGTATTTACTATTTTAATACTTTTGTACGCGTGCTATTTTAAGTTGTACAGAATATACTATATGATTGTTATTCTTTTAAATTAGCGCTGTTAACATAATAATATTATGTAGTTTCATATTTAATAATCATGTCAAGTATAGTGTAGACTACTCTAACCTATGCTATACGTAATAATATATACGTCGACAATGACTTATTATTTTATATTGGAAAACGCGGTCCCCATACAGTAGATTATTCTTTCACATCGATTTCACTTATTAAATAAAAAATAGAACAAGATATATCTGGTGTTTTTTATATATATATCGTTCGCAATTTTTTTTTTTTTTAAGAGAAAATAGTTTGAAATTTTTTGAAATTTGGAAATTACAAAAAAAAAAAAAATAATAATAATAAATACAAAAAAAAAAATGTCACAAGTAATTGTAAATTAAATAATTATATATATATATAATTGTTCATTATAATAATACCAATATTTTTTCTATACTCGTCATTGATAATTCGGCGGAGTATAACAACGTACAAACCTTAAAAGTTAAAACTAATATAACAATGTTCATAAATTCTTATGTATTATTAGCCGATTATAAATAATACATTATACAACATGACACGTAGTTATGTCCGGCGATTATATACCAAATGTATTTGTGTTCAAAATATCGTTACACCATTAAACATAAAAAAAAAAATACTTTTTTTATTATTCTATTATTTATTATTACTTTGTTTTAAATATCAAATAATCAATAAAGTTCAAATTTGAAATATTTCAATTGAATTCAGTAATAAAAGGTTAGGAAATAGAAACCTTATAATTAACCCTTACAACTTGGTTGAATTGATTTTACTTTGGATCAGATAAGAAGTCTTTGTTGATGGCGTCATCATATTCATCTGTTCCTGTAACAGGCAAATATTTATCAATAATATAATATTTTTACCTTACTCATAATCTTTATAAAGTTATTAGGTGAGGCAAACTTGGCATAACAGCCACGACACTAATATGTAAAGTCAGTGGTTCTTCGTAATTTATACAATTTACAATTATTAATATTTATTTACAATTGTTATAAAAAAAATTATAACTGATACGAGTTTAGGATACAATCACTGAAAAAAGCCACCACAGTTGTATTAAATTATCTGTCGACTATAAATATACAAGGTATAATGTATAAACTATGTGCTATATATGTACTATATAACTATAATTTTGCTATAAGTATTAATATTTTAGATTTTTAAATAGTCATGTAAACTAAACTTTTGTTGCTTAAAACTTTTTAATGTTTAATTTGTGTATTCATTATTATTATTATTATCATATTATTGTTGTTATTTTTTTTCTTTTATTATTATTATTCGTATGATTATATCAAATCTGATACTATGAATATACGTTTATTATTATTATTATTAATTATAAAATTTAGCTACAGCCAAGTTGTCGATTTTTATATAATTATATAAGTATAATATGTATATACTTAATCGATTTAATTTTTCTGATTTTAATTTTAATTTTTATATTTTTCATTATTACATTTAATATAACGATAATACATTTAAATAATAATATGATAAAAATTAATGCATTGTATGATCAAAAGCGTAATAAAAGACCAACAAAAAAGAAAAAAATTGTTGCTAAAGTAAACATTTTAAAATGATACGTCATGGTTACTTTCATTAGTCAAAAATTCATTGTATTATTATCTCACTTTGAGTTGTTCAGTTGATCTTTTAATGTAGTTCATCAGCATTCTGTATTTAACTTTCAATAAAATTAGAAGTTTATAATCCTCGCCCGACTCTTTTTTCTTTACCCTGTCTAAATATCTTTGTTTTGAAAGTCTATATTTTATTTTTAAATCATTATTTATTCTTTTTAATTCTTCAACTTCCTTTAAAAATTCAGGGCTGAAATTCTAAAATGTATTAATACCAAGTTTAATTATTTTATTTTATATTAATAGCCATATTAATATAAAATTAATTTAGGCTGAGGCCCACTGACAAATATTAAAAACAGTAATTCTAACGCAGTTTTCCCCTATAGCAGCTGAGGCCTAAAAAAACAATAATCTAGTAGAAACAAAGACAAAAACAAAATTTAACCAATAATATAATGTACGATAAAAATTTAATTATTTAAAAAATATGGTAAATTCTGGTAATTAAACATAATTAATTTAAAATTTATAATGTTCTTTTATTAATTATTTTTAACCTAATATATTTCTTTTAAAATACAAATCAGCTATGAATTAAAAACAACTTATTTCAATAAATATTTTAAAAATAAAGTTTTTATTCTTTATTTCTGAGTGGGGTTGAAAATACGATACATAGCTTAATATTATAAATTTTATTAAATAAATATATTGCATATAGTTTTAAATTTATTATTAATCGATTACCTACATATTTCTATGTTGAAATACAATTATTTGAGTTACATTATTTACTTAACCTAACTTATAAATAGGAATATTAGAACACAGATTAAATATATAATTATCATATATTCATATTATACTTTATTAAAATATTTGTGTACATTTCAAAAATATTGATAAAATAAACAGTAAAATAGAAGAAATACTTATAAAAAAAAATGTGATTATCTTGTAAGGTACTTGAAACTGTTTGCTATTCCATTAATATTTTATAGATATATTTCCTAAATATTATCATCAGTTCTGAACTAATAATAACAATCATAGTTGAAATTAAAAAATGTATTATTATATAAGTATTTTGTCCTTATTTAAATTTACATATGTAAGTTATTAAACAAGTATATATTAAAGAATCTATGCATAATTCATTTATATTGTATATGATTGTATTATTATTTTATACTTCATATACATATTTTTTTTTTTTGACCATGGTAAATAGGAGTAGAATAGACTTGCTCAATAACTACTACATTTAGTTTAAAAAAGAAATTATCACAACTTGCTGGTGGTCGACACTTCTGATTATCGAATTAAAGTACTATAATTCTTATACAATCAATTAAGTATAATATTATTTATGAGGTCTATAATAAAACGACCCGATAATATAATAATTTTAGAGATACGTTTTTAAACTGACTATTTTATATACTACGCTTATGTTAAACATTTTTGTAAATGAGTATACATAAATGGTATTTTAAAATATATTTTATACTTATTGGCTATTACATTTGAACAGTTGAACTGTAATTATATACTACTTATTATAATGTATAATTTTACTGCCTACTTAAAATGCCTACTCTATTTCATTGTAACTAAACACATTTGGAATTGGCAGTTAATAGGGCTATGGGCTATTGTATTTTTAAATGTTTATTCATGAATAGAAACTCAATAGCGAGGGTTAATGGTGCTATTCATACATTAAGATTAAGGGTCATCGTGATTACAATCATTGCATTTATTTAGTATCCACTACCTATATACTGTAGCTGACACATTAACTGACAAATTAATATATTTCATTAACATCATATCCCGGTTAACATTAACTATTATTGTAGTTAATTGCAAAAGACAGGACCGTAGCTGAAAGTAAACTTTTCAATGTTTAATTCTCGTGCATTTGAGATAGCACACATATTTATATCGTTAGTATAGCCTATAATATACATATGTTCGTAGCAAAACTACTGATGGATAAATTTCTGATAATTAATAGAAATTCTGGTTTATCAAAAATTGATTCTCAAATATTTCAGTAAAGCATAATGTATATCTTTAAAACGAAAATAAAACATACTTAAGTCAAAATGACTGTTATTAACAGTCGTCTGATTAGGGTAATAACACTAATAATTATAATAACTATATTATGATATATTATTAATTACTTAGATAAATATTTAGATAAATAGATAATATATTTTAAACCAAGTACCTCTGTATCCGGGTACAAATTATTAAACATCACTGCTTTATCAAGCATATATTTTAAGATAAAAATCGTATTTTTAAACTCTTTTTGAATTCTATATAAAACTGCTCCAAGATCTTCATCCAAAATTACAACTTGTCTCAAAATTTCATCTTTTTTTAAAAATATTTAACAACGTTTAGTAAAACCACACAATAAATATAATACATATATTTATTTATACATAAATATACGTATAAAAATCTTTTATTACCAAAAAATAAATTGTAAACATAATTTCTTGTTTCACAAATCCCTTTTTTCTTGAATCTATAAAACTGTTCTAAATGGTTTAACATGACAATCATTTTGGCCACTTCATCTCTATTTGACGGTTCTCTGGAAATTGTCTGTCTCAAAGTTATCACCTTGTTTTTATTATTAACCTGAGTCCATTCTCTGGGAGGAAATATTTCTTCTAATATAGAATTTTTATCATTATCTTTTTCCACATCATTGTTCTATAACGTTTCAATTTATTAAAAATGTATTAAATAAAATTTTCTTTTGTATTTGAATAATGTTATAGTGAGCAGTGTTCAACCACGAATTATATGTGTAGAATACAATGTATTAATATTCGAAAGCTATATTTTTTTTCATAATTATATCGATATTACTTAACAAGCTTAATTAAGTTGAGAATATCATTAAATTTAAATACGAGTATATTACTGTATTGCAATTTGTAAATTGTTTTAGTTTTTATTATAAGTTAAAATGTGTATAGTTAGTTTGTGTTAGTATCGTAAATAAAATAATACTAAAGTTATACTTATTACACATAAAAATGTCTAAGAAATATATAATTTGTTTAATTTTCTGTAAGTAATAATAAGCCAAGTTCACAAGTATAAAATATTTTGTTTTCTATTAACATACGAGTATGTAATATTTTATATTTTTATGTATACAAACACAAAATTGTATAAACCATCACAATAATTAATACGTATACAAGTTATTGAATGTATTTTACAATGCACACATATTGGACATACATCTCATACTTTTTAAACTTTAAGAAAGCAAAATTAGGTTTCAAAAATTGTGAATACATGAACCTAGTTTTAAGTTGTATAAACGACTATACGAGTAAATATTATATTACTTGTTCTACCGTGTCAGTGATATCCTCAAAAAAGTTCCATTTCAAGACTCCGTTGCTTAAAAACGCAAATAATTCAATATTATTCATTTAACAGTATGTAAATTAAATGGTCCAGTTATTAAAATAAATATATTTACTTTTAGCTTATTTACTTTTATTATTGACTAGTTACGAAAACTATATTTAATATCATTTATTATTATTATTATTTTGATAAAACAAAATTTTATTTGCAAATACAATAAAACAATTTGAAAAAAATAAATATTCAATTTAAATTTTACAAAACATTTCATAAATTGATTCATTTATAAGAAACTTCATAACAATTGTTTAATTACTTTCTAGTTTCAATTTAAATTTTGAAAGGAACTATGAATGTATTGGTTTTAAAATAATATATCGTTTTTTTATTAAATTTTATTTTGTCATTTTTCAAAGCAATTAAAATGCTATTACATTAAACTTTGAGTTTGATTTCTAGCAGAAAATTGAATCTAGTTAGAACTTGGTCAAAAGTAAAAATTTAGTGATTGAAATTAAACTATTCAAAAGTGTGATAATTGATAACGGTCTTTGTTATTTTTCAAAAAATACTATTTGAAGAAACTCTAAGCATTTTATTGGCAATTTAAATAATTTTTATTTATAATAAAAATTTCAAAATATTTAGGCTTATTTTAAGTTATTTTTAGGCAGTTGATTTTGAAAGTTTTGTTTTTTAAAGTGTTGATAAAAATATTTAAACTTGGTCATAAAGCTTTAAAAAAATTTTAAAAATATAATTCATTTTTATATTTAGCATAATATTTTCGATAATATTGTATATAATAGACACTGGTTAATAATAATTACAACTATAAATTATATACATTTAAATAAAACGTTTTTACAATATGTTGAATAAAGAAGATATTTTTTTCAGGAAATGTAAAAAATAATTGTTTAATATACTTTCATGCATTACTTTAATATATAAAATTAATCTACATGTGACATTCTTCTAAACAATAGCTTGTTTATAAAACCGGTTTTTAAGAATACAATTCAAAAAACCAAAATCCCTATCTCCTCAGGTAATAAATAATAATACCCGTATATTAAATATTACATGTAGAAATATTATGTTTTCAAACATTTGTTTTGTTTTTAAATACACGAAATTTGCTTCATTTTAAAGAAGATTCAACTATGTTATCAAGGGAAACAATGTATTTGATGTTTTAAGTTTTATAGTAACGATAGCTAAAATACTTGTCATACAACGGTATTCATTTTTAATATAATTTATATTTGAATAATGCATTAAACAATTTGTAGCTACTTAATCTGTCGTATCGTGTTTTTTTTTTATTCTGATTGGTCGTTGTAATCATAACATAATTCATTATCCATGATCTAACAGTGAGTTGGGCCAAACTCAACTTTTAAACTCGACATAAAAGACAACGTAGTTATAAATTCGGATTTAGCAATAAATCGTTTCGTATGTAAAAATGTATTTAAGTTTTGTTTAAACAGATTCGTTTGTTTTAAAAATATTTGATTTTCATATGCATTATATATATATATATATATAATAACTACATATATACAGCAACTATATATATACATATATTATGTAACTATAATAGGTACACCTAATATTTAATTTAAATTTAATTTAAAATGTATGGAATTTTGCTGTTTTTTCGATAAAATACGTATAATAATTATTTATGGTCTGATATTACGTTTTCTACAAAAGTATAACCAATAATAAATTAAAATAATTTTTAAAACGTATTATAAAATTAGTTATAAGTAAATACTAATAATCAAGATAATACGTTAGATTTGGCATTTGTTTACTGTACATTTATGCGTATTTTATATCATAAATAAATAAGTAGTTTATTATATTGCAGTTATATTATAAATATAATATATTTATATGTTGTTACTTGTTTGTAAGTATTATATTATTAATATACTTATAATATATAAGGATATATCCAATATATTTTTTAAATTTATATTAAAAAGAATACATTATAATTAGTATAAAATTATAAAATACTTAACAATGAAAAATTGTAAATTTAAAAATCAATTAAAATTTCAAATAACTAATTAAGATAATAAAATATCTGAATTATATTTCATTATTTTCATATGTACATCTATTACTGAATCCTAACTTTTTTTTTTTATAATTTAAAACATTTTTACATACGCCAGTTAACGTATATTACGTTTTCAAATATTAGTTTAAAAACTTATGAACTCATTACTTAACTACTCGATACTATTAAATAAGATATGCATTTAAAATATATATCTCTCACAAGTTATGTTGTTTAAGTTACAAATAGGTACACGTTGTATATAAAAAAAAAAAATTATAATAAACAAGTGATTTGATAATTTTAACTATAACTATTGTAGCATTTTTAAACAATAATAGTTCCAATTTAGTAAAAAATTCAAAAATATTAACATAATATAAAAAAATTATTGACATGATTTAACACGTAGAAACTGTATAAAAACAGCTGGTTTAAATGATAAATACATCAGTACCTACATAACCTATATTTTATCAAATATAACTGAAACTATACTAATTAATAAAAAACACATATCCTATGAACTGATGAGTGACGACTGATTTTTCAACACTGATGTTTGAAATGGATAGTTGTATAATGATTGAGTGATAAAATATACTACCTATGAAATAAATAATAATAATAAATATATTTTATTAATAAGAATCAATAAATATTAATATTGTATTAATTCCTAATAGATAAAGTACTTTATATTTAAAACAATGTATGCGTGCATGTACTCATGAAGTTAGTTGACCCAAAGTTCTTATTTATTATTATCAGGCCGACTTTGTTTTTAAACCTTTAATAAAAAAAATTTTAAAAATTATTTATATTACTTTACATAAAATTTACAAAAAAATGTATTCAAACAGTATTATAGAATCATACAAGTTAATTCAATAAAATTAAATTTAAAAAAAAAAATTATAGTTATAATGTTAATTCTGTTGAAAGCAGGTCATGCGTCTTCTGCCTTGTCCGTTTAATTATTTTATGTTTCTTATTATAATTATAATTTACTATAGAACTGATTATATTTACTTTAAAAGCTAATATTTCAATAATATCAAAACTTTATAAGTCATGAAATGTTTGTTAATTCATGGTAATATATTTTAGGATGTAATAAAGAGGGGGAGGTGTAGAGGGCAAACCCGAACACGGTGATATAAATTACCCATATCTATTATTTATAGGGAGATTAATTTTTGTTTTGTATCATCAGATTATCAGAGTACTTCTACTATTTCTTTTTAAGCCAAACACTCAAGCACTGTTTGTACAGTGTGTATCAGTTGCTGGTCCTACACAGAATTCACAGTTATATATATATTAATATATTATATATCCACAAAATAACTCATAAGTCATAAACTCATAACTATTCTACTTAACATTTCCTTTTTAATTTTAATTTTAATATTCAATATTTAATTGCATAACAAAAATTCTACTTTTAAAATATTTATCGTTCTAAAGTTATTTTTCTTTTACTTTTAAGAAACGCAAAAATACAATTTTATTTTTTTAAAGTTATTTTAATCTAAAAATAAACAAAAAAAGATCATAGTAATTTTGAATCAATATTTTAAAATACTGATTAGGTAAAACATTCTATGTGTAGATAATAGATACCGAAAAGCATTACTTATAAAATTATGTGTATAGAAATAATTGTGCAGTGATGTTTATTATACATATAATATGTCAAAAATATATATGATTTTGAATGACTCTTATTTTAAAAATACTTCCCAAACCACAAACAATAACTACAAAGATAAAAGAAAATAGTTGTGAATTCGTCAATCATTATCAGTTATGTACACTTAAAAGAAATAGATTAAAAATAAAATTACTTAAACAAAATCATATTTTATAGTTTTAATTGCTATGATAAAAAGTGTAATTTATAAAGTTTTTTTTTTTTGATGAACATAACATCCTCATTCTCCATATTACGCCTACGTATAACATACAAGTAATTTTACAAATAAAAGAGTAAAATGTATGATAATATTTTGATATGATAATAATAGCAACAAACTGTTCAGAATATAACTAAATGTCACATTTTTATTGTTTAAATTATTATTAATTTTATCGTGATATTTATAATCTGATTTTTATACTGTTTACAGTAGAATAGGGGTGGTATAAATTTTATTTATAAATTAAAATATATTGTGAGAAAAACGACTAGTTATTTGAAGGAGGTAATGACAAATTATAGTTGGTATTTGATCTTGTATGGACAATGATACAAGTTCAATTATTATTTAATTCTGACTACCTACGTTTTTTAAGTTTATTTACCACTTATATTCATATTTTTCCCACTTAAATATTTTATTACGCGTCCTTGAATTAGTACGTTATAAATTATATCATTATTAAAATTTATTGAAACCTGTTCGATACAGAAAAATAAATAAATAAATCTCCAATACAAGGATAGGTTATGTCTACAAATTTTAATTGTTCACAGAAGTTATGAAAGCTTTTTATTATAATAAACAAAATATACATTCATCGCTTCACACAGAATCTAAAATTTATATTTAAATATACCTAATTACTTAATTACTAATTAGATTTCATATTTTAGTTTTTTGCTCTATAAGTTATATAAATGTATAATTTGTAAGTTTAAATTGTTTATATCGAAAATGTAGTGTACTCTGTATACCTAGAATAATACCTATATATCATACAATTAATATATGTGAACATAAGTGTTTTATTTTACACTTTTTTAATTTTAAATATTTGTATTACACAATTTATTATACATAATATATATGATACGAGTATAAATAAAATATAATGTTTATCAGAACAATATGTGAATGTAATGTATATAATAAAAAAAAAGATAATATGATTCCCAGAATGAAGAATTCTCCTACTGGAGATATTTCGACATTAGCTTAACAATTATTGTTAATTAAAAACTAGTGTGATAAGTACGAGTATATTTTAAAATAATAT